AAGGTACTTCTGTCAAATAAGACATGACCATGCATGCCAAGCATTGGACACAGTGTTAGTGGAGGATGGAATCGATGGGAATTGGTTACTGTTCTGCACTGACTAGAATTTCCCTAATTTGCTGTGATTACATGAAGTCCAAGTGTCCCAGAGGGCTTTCCTTAAGGCTTAGGATAGTGAAAGACAAATAAGTTCTCAAAGAATAGCTGCCATTCTAAGGACGGCGAAGTTTCCTTTTATTTTATTTGTTTTTTGGTCTTTTTGAGACAGGGTCTCCCTGTAGACCTAGCTGACCTGGAACTCACTATGTAGACCAGGGCCGGCCTTGAACTCACAGAGATCCACCTGCCTCTGCCTCCCGAGTGCTGGAAACAAAGGCGTGTGCCACCACACCCGGCTTCCTTTCATTCTTAGAATGTCTCCAGCTTTATCCTTTATTATACATACATTTGTGGGGGACCGGCACACATGTGCAAATGTGGGGAACATGTTGCTGTGGATTCCGTATGTGCACGTGTGGAGGTCAGGGAAAACTTGCCAGTTAGTTCTAGTATGTTGGTCCTGGGAATAAACTGGTCGTCAGGCTTGGAAGGAAGCACTTTTCAAGTTTCATTTCTTCCCACATTAACTCACATGAGTGTCCCTGTACTTCTCTTCAAGCCCCTAGTTTCTTAGTCTGAGGACTTCACATACATACGTACTTGTTTGTTGTCTTTTCTATCAGAACGGAAGATCCTTGAGAGTAGGTTATTTCTACTGTTCAGATCAGATCTATCCCAGGTACTTATCATAAAGCCTGGCACTAACACTTAAAATTGTTGAATGAATGAAATTGACCTTTGGTGAAACTTATGCGAAAGTAAAATTTAAAAACTATGTTTTTTTGAAAAAATTTTTAAATTTTATCAATACTATACACACTTAAGTCCTCATTTTTGAGCGTCACTGATGTTGAGTAATATGTTTTGTGTTACATGGTATCCACAGGAGCCCCACATTTGCCGGTGCTCCTTACTAATTTGCAACTTTGGGTTTTATTTTCTCCCCACACTGATTTGGAGAGGCAGCTTGGTCCTAACTGACAAGCTACAAGTATAAAACTGGAAAGGATGGAGAGTACTCAAAGTTTACCCCCAGTCAGCTGAATTTGGTCCACATGTCCGGGAAGGGTGTGTCAAGTGGAGAGTTGTTCTCTGGCCATGCCGGCCGACTGTGGCTGGGCCTGGACACCTCCTTGGCCACCTGATTTTCAGATTCTTTCTAGTTGTTTGGCTCAACTTGGCGAGCGTGGGAGCCTGACCGTGGACTCGGAGGTGTGCACGTGGGGCGCAGCGGAGCCATTTAAACCAGCGAATCCGCTTCAGCAGCCCTCCCACGTCTAGCAGATCTGGGCGGATGCCGCAGGGCTCCGCACTACTCCCAGACCATCCTCCTCCTATCTCTGCGGACCCGCGGGACGCCTCCGGGCGGCCGCAGCTTCCCAGGAGGGGTCGAGGACAAAGTTGGGGAAACTGAGGCGTGGCTGGCTCGGAGCAGCACCCCGCAGGCCTGGACCCCCAGAGCGCGGGCCGGGGCGGGCCGGGGCGGGGCGGGCGGCCGCATTTCCTGTGCTGGGCCGCCCAGCCTCCCTCTCCCGCGGTGGCGGGACCATTTCCTGAATCGCTGGGGCGGAGCGCGGCCTGGGGCGGAGCTCATTGGGGCGCGGCCCTACCATCAGCGCGCGGGTGCGGGGGTGCG